GAAGTTACATGAAACTTACATCTGTACTACTGCGGTCCCGCCTGCTGCTGCTGCTGCTGCTCCGACATGGTGCGCGCTGCTGTGGCCAGCCGGCGTTCGCGACACATTTAAATAGGCAGAGCAGCTGGTGGCGCTAGCATCACATGCGCTTCTACAACTTTTAAGAGGACGAAGAAGAAGCCCGTGGTGCATTTTGGGTCAGTAGCATGCCCGTAGGATGCACCGAGACCAACCTACAATGTGGGCGTGTCTAGTATCTGAAGTAGTGTCTGAAGTAGCATGCTACTCGCTCCGGTGGCCAATTCGGACATGCTAGATACTACTTCGACTACTACTTCGACTACTACTTGGCAATTCGGACGCAGCTCTAGTCTCCTTGTGTTTCATTTTTTTCTCCCCAGTGCTTTTGTGTTGGGGATTTATGGGGATTTTTCAGTTGGATATTTTGAAGAAAGTTGTTGTTGTTTTTTTCATGTAGTTCTTTTAAAACAAACAATTAGTCAAAGAAAAAAAATGCAAAATCAGACAAGAAGAATTTTGTGTTAAATTAGACTGGATGTTAATTACATTTTTGTTGCTCAGAAGAAATTTGTCATAGACAGTAATCAAAGCCCTGAAAAATTTTAGTCACACAAAAAACACGAACAACATAAACGAAGCTAATTATAAATACCATCAAGTTATGATATATTAAAAGAATATTTAAAAAGTAATTTTTTAAACATCAGGATACTAGGGTTAAGTGTCTTGTAGCTTTGTGTGGATATAAAGACAAAAGGTGCACTCTTGCATCCCTAAAGTCTGCCATATTTTCCATCCAGTTAGTCTTGTTACATTGGTTACTGCACATTTTGATAACATATGTCTCTTTTTTTTTATCAGTCTGAAAGTTTCCTGACTGAATGGTGGAGCTATTTTTACTGAGTCATGAACTCTGCAAACTTTCAGTTCTCCCAATTAAATTATTGAAATGGTACCGAGAAGACAGAGAGGCGATCAGACACATGATAGAACCAAATTTTAGAAGGTTTCTTTGACTTGGTCAGATCTCTCTGTCTGTTAGTTGTAAATGTAATTTTTGATAACTCTAAACTGAAAGTTAATCCTGAAATCTGAAGCTTTCAAATACCTGGATCTTTCAAATTAGTGGAAATTAAAACCTTAAAACATTTTTTGGTCTATCTTTATATGGATAAGGATTCATTTGAGACATTATTAGGTATCTGATGGGGCAGAGGAGCTCATATAAATGTTAAAGAGAAATGTCAGGAGTGGTATTGAGCAGAGAAGGTGTTCTCGCCCACCTACAGGACTGACACTGCAGGATAAATGGGCCCGTTAACCGCCCATCAGCAGTGACTGACAGCTTTAAGTGAACAGACCCAGTCAGCATATCTCATAATTGGCAATTGTGGCAGCAGAGATGAGTCCTTGTGCATGTGTGTGATTGGAGGATGAATAAAAAAGGTGGAGTAAAGGTGGTGAAGATCCTGACCTCCTCCTCATCCTCTTTATGTCTTGTCACTTGCTGGCAAGGAGCCCTTCCTCATTTCTTCTTTTCATCATCTCTTCTGACCTTTTCTGCTAGACGGCCTTCCTCTGACTACTACCTAAAGAAGCTGCCAAACTGAGCACAGAGTCCCCCACGCCCCCTACCCCACCCAAGCCCTCCTACTGCAGCCACAGGAAGTGCTAACTGTCAGACTCAGACAGGTCTCTCTGTGTCACCTAGTCATTAATTCAAACATTTCCCAATGGTTGCATGAAAACCCTCTTTAAATTCCCCAGTCTGTCATCTGACAGTGTGACAGTTTTGTGCAAAAAAGCTGCAAGACTTAACTTGTTTGTGATTCTGGTTTGTCATTCAATCTAGAAGTAATGCATACCTCAGGTTCTTGGGGTTGCAGTTCAATTCAATTGACATGTCGCTTAGCTCCGCCCCCCTTGGTGACTGTTACTAACTTGGACAAGCAACCGGAGCTGAGCAGTGTCAAAACGCCACCCCAAAAGGGTCTCGACATATCTGGGAGTTAAAAGATGTGATTTCTTCGAGAAGCCGTCAAAGGGGAATTTATTGTGCCATTGAGGGAAATGTCCAGATTTAAAATTAGATGTGGTGGGTGAGTTAAACTGAAGGCGAGGGTGTACAGATCCCAATGCAAGTGGGAGGAGCCTCATCTCACTGTCATCATGATTGCAAATGAGAACATCCAAGACCAACACTGTTTGTGTCCCACAGGATAGGATTATATTAATTTACCTTTTATGTATTTAAACTACTCTGGAAAGGCACTGAGTGTTGAGATCCTTACACACTGGGAGTTTTTTTTTTTTTTGTGCGATTTCAGACGTCAGTACTTTTTTTTTTGAACCCGTATCCTGTCAATACAAGTGTTCACATCAGCAACGTTTTCCCATCCTGCGATGTTGTGGCATTTATATTTTCGTATCACGGTTGAATTTTCTAAAGTTTCGCATACTGTGAGTCCACTTCTGACCAATCAGATTTCGTGTTGTTGCAACATCAGATTCACCGGTATATCCAACATAGCCGAAAATAAAATAGTGGGCCAAGTGATGATCCATGGGGCACACCTCGTTCCTGAACCAGCAGGTCAGACTTGCATTCTTGTATGGCGACACACTGCTTTCTATTGTGCAGATATGCATTGAACCATAACAAGGCATTATATTATTATTTATTATTATATTTATATATAGACATTATATTTATATTTATTTAAAAAAATATTCTGCAGAGTACATATCAGTGATTTTCATGCTTATCATGGCTTTATTCAAGGTTCGTGACCCTTTGAAAACAAATCTTGACATCATGCTACAAACTAAGGTTTTTGTTAGCACAACCCTCTCTGAATAAATCGTATTTTAAAACTGTAATTGCATGCACTATGTTGGGGCACTTCACTGGAACAAATCTGAAACATGGGATCATATCAGTCATTAAGATCCCATCAGATGAAAGATATCAATTGGGATCTAAACAACATCAGTCTCATACACTTTTCCTTTCCTGCAATATATAATACACAAAGCATGGTTTTCTTTCATTAAAGTTTTCATGAATTATGGAGTCCATCATCACGGCCCCAAATGATCTCATAAGAGGATCAGGGAAGGAGTGAATGAAAAGTTCACTCCAACTTAAATTACCTCACAGAGGATGATGATGCCCACTTTTGGCTCTGTATGGATGTCATTTCTGTATTACTCATCTCCACAACCTGCCTGCGCCTCTCTATCTCTCTAGTTCCTATGACGACTCACTTCACAGAAATATTCACAGATCTTTGTAATGCAAAGTCATCACTGCTAAACTCTGCAGGATAATTTTTTTTGTAGGAAACCTCAGCAACAATATTTGATAACTTCTTTGTTTCTTAAAAGGTAGCTGAGTTTTCGTTTTGCGGAAACATTTGGTGATACTGTAGGAAGGATAATAACGCCACTGAGAGCGAATTAAAACCAAAAGCAGACAACACTGCAGGGGAAGTCTGCACGTCGACTCATAAATCTGTACTTTGAATTGAAGATGAATACTGAAATGCAGTTAATTGGTGGATGTCGTTAATCTCATCCAGAGGCATGTGTGCCCCGAATTGATGCTGCTAAAATGAGGTTGTATAGATTAGATGACGGGTAGTGATTACCCTCTAATTCACAGCAAAGAAAGTCAATTGATTTTAATGAGTTGATTTATGATGGAGTGCCAAAATGAAGAAATCATCAAACAGATCTGGGGGAGGGATCCAGTGGGTGTAATGAACTTTAAATTAATAAGAAAAGAAAGAGATAAACAATCACACATTTCTCCAGGGGAAAGAAATGAAACGATGGTTTTGGAGGGATTTGTTGAGGCACTGATCCAACATGTTAATGGCAATTCACACTGCTCAGGATGTTTCTAAACTTGGTATGAAAGGTGTCAGACTGTAATATATCACTCTGCAATCATTACCCCTGTGTTTTCAAGCTCAAAAATACAGATATATGCAAGCAGAGAGGTAGTAATTTGCAGCTTCCATCTGCTTTGCCTCTTTTGTTTTCAGAAATAAACAAGTTTGGCCTCAAAATTGAGATCAATGGCTTCACTTTACATCAACCACTGCACCCAATTTATCTCAACTTATTCCCCCAACAACACGAAATTGAAGTAGGAATAAAGTCCTTTAAATGCATTATCAATCATTTGCCTCTGAGGGAAATTCTCAGTGAAACAAATTCATTTCTATTTGGGCTTTAAAGTGTGGGGACCCCAAGGATATCAGCTCTTTGAGCCAGTCAGAAATATATCAACTGAAATCAGAGAGCTAACCTTTTAACCTATATTATGTTTTTTGAATTATGTTTACAATAAGTCTTCATCTATATCTTTAACACATCAAACATTTGGCCTCTTTGGAAGATCTTAAGCCTCTCAGTTTATATCCATGCAGTGATCTAAGTTGGCAGGGCAGCTACATTATAAAGCACCACCAGAAAACACCAAAACAATGTTGTTTTTACGCACGATTTCTTTTTGGTGACTCCTCCAGGTAAACTGGCACCCTTCTTTTCCTGTGCAGAGCTATTATTAAAAGTTTCTAGGGAGTTCATGTTTTCTATGTTTGACACTCGATACAGCCTATGGGCATATGAAGATTGCATAGGTGGTGGTTCCAGAAAGTGGTGAAAATCCCAGAAATGCTGAAAGAAAATTGGCTTTAAATTCATTTAGCGACTGCAGACGGAGCCAAGTTGTCCATAGTATATACAGTCTAAAGGTCCATTCACACCAGGACCGTTTTTATTGCGCGATTATTTCAGACATCAATACTTATTTTACAACCTGTATCCTGTCAATACAAGCGTTCACATCAGCGACGTTTTCCCGTCCTGTGATATTGCGGCATTAATTTTTCGCATCACGGTTGATTTTTCCAAAGTTTTGCATACTGTGTGTCCACTTCTGACCAATCAGATTTTCGTGTTGTTGTGATGTCAGATTCACTGGTATATCCAACATGGCTGACCGGCTGATTGTTTACGTGTCGGAGAACAGAGTGCTTTTTGATAAAAGACACAAACATCACAAAGATAACGACCTAAAGGACAACTTGTGGAGAGTCATAGCATTTAATCTCTTATATGATGATGGTTTGTGTGCTTCAACAGTTTGCTAAACGTCTTTGTTTTAACTTTCATCTGTGCTAAGTAACTTTAGCTCGTAAGCTAACCTGTTCAGATACAACATACCATATGTATTTTCACTGTCTCAAACTCAATGGCGTTAGTTCTCGGTTGTTACCTTATGTTTATGGATTATAGTTTAATGTGCTTATCTGGTACTGGCCCCGACTCAGTAAATGCTATCATGACAGACAGACATCTCAACACTAGAGTCTAATCAGAACTGAAAAACAGTCAGTCTGCTGTTGTGTCAGTCTTCTTGCTTCCACGCGGGATGTGTCCCCCCCCCCCCCCCCCGGAATGTCACAAAATCACATTGCACTTGATGTGTATAGTCAGGCGTGTCAAAATTCGCTTCCGAATATTTCGTAATTTCGCGTCGTATATTTGCGTTGGTCCTGGTGTGTAAGGACCTTAAGGTTGACACCTTTTATCTTTGCTATCTTGACCCTGCAACGCCAAAAGCGAAACCATGTTAGTGAGGTTAGGGTTAGGGTTAGGGTTCGAACATGTTTGAGGAGTGGGAAGTTGTAGTGGTTTTGCATGCATGCCCAATCACTTTGCACCATGGGAGCCAAATCAAATCCACTTGTAGGAGCTGTTTTCCCAGGCTGCAGAAACAATCCAGAAACTTAATAGCTTCCACATCACTCAGATTGCTAGACTGGAAGATGACTAAACTAAACTGCACATGTATGTGTAAGAATTATTCTCATTATTTTTTCTTTTTTATATAGGACCTTTTATAACTCTAATTTTCTCACGTATATTACCATTTGGCAGTTTTTTATCAGCTAAATTGAAAAAAAGATTTTAATTAAATCTAATGTACACAGAGGTGTATATGCTTCATTCATATCTGCATATTGTTGTCATGTCGTCATATATGGTAATCAAAGTAAACACAGTTGACCACCGTACAAAATGCCACAGTGCTGTGGCAGATTTATCAACATATGTGTCCCTCTGCGTTCAAATGCCTGATGGGATTTAATGACTGAAGATGAGGCTTTTCATTCAGCGTGAAGCAGCTGTAAAGAACAGATGCCGGAGAAACCGATCATTTTCATTTACAGGTAAATGTTGACTGATTTGCCGACATTCTTGCAGTAACCATGATTAATATATGATAATCGGATTTCTGGTCACTGTCACAATTATCAGCCTGTGGTTGTTGGTGTTATGGACTGTTATGCCTATCAGTAAAAATCAAATTCAATGCGATGATGAAAAATGTAGAATGTTGATGGGGTTTTGGTATCCAGAGTGGTGTTTCCATAAGTAATCTCGTATCATCCATGAGCGTTTCAGCTGTTTTAATATAGTATGTATAGAAATAGTCTGTACTGGAATAAAATAAAATCTGGTATAATGTGAACCTTGAATTCACCAGCAGTCAAATAAACAGATAAATAATATAATGATAAAGATAAAAACATAAGAAAAAAAAAAAACATGGTGATGTGTGCATGATGAGTGCTACAGGCCCAGGCAGGGAGAGCACACTTCCCCTTTATCTCAAATGAATATATATGAAAAGCCAAAGCAGGGAGAGCAGCTGCAAAGACCCCCCGGGGTACAGAACAGAAATATGACAGTGGTAAAGTTGGACATAGCATGGGAAAGAGGGGCCGGGGTAAAGGCAGGGAGAGCAGCAGCAAAGACCCACTTGGATAAAGAATAGAGCAGCATCAGTGACCCTCCATTTGACACTCTGGTTTTTCCTCTTACTGAACGAACCCACAATCTGGAGGTCTTGGCATACTCAAATTCTGCATATACAAAAAATCAGGGCTGGTAAAAATGTTAATATTTTATGGTCTTTGCAGATAACCTTGCAGAAGTAGCTGCATGGTCCTCTAGAAATTTTCAAAGGAGTTCCCGTGGAGGTCACATTCACCCATGTGTATTAATCAGTAGAGCCAGTTTGAAGAATGGTGTAATTTCAGAGTGGTTTGGGTTGATTGGAGGCCTGCAGGTGTACCTTGTCTGGTTCTGCATGTACCATAACGCCCACAGCAGCTCTGTCAGCTCGTATATCCATTAGCAGCCTTTAGACATATAAAGCAAAGGGTATGCACACACAGGGGCACATAATAGAAGAGAGGTATGCACAGGAGCACAAGAAGCAGTAATGGAATATATTTCTTGTCCACACTCGAGTGGTTCTAAGAGGGGCTATAAATAAGCAGTAATATGCATGTAGGTTAACTCAGGGGGAGTGTAGAGAGGAGACTTCACTTTCACACCTCTTGACCTTCAATAGGGAACTCAAAGTCAGACGGGATAAAGAAAATGAAAAACAGTTCGGTGGTAGTTTGTCATGTTTTATAAGCAGCACTAGCCGTATTCTCACTTCAGGTATAAAACAGGCCCCAGAATTGACTTCTTCAGTCTGTAAACACTCCCCAAAAAGTTTAATGTGCATCTTTTAAGATTTTCTACTTTTATTTTTCTCTGATTGTACATGTGATGTTGCCAAAAGTCACATCTGAGTGTGTTTTTATACAGCAGATGTCTTCTAATTTGAGCAGGGGCCGGGAGTGGGAGATTTTTTGTGTCACTCGGGGAGGTTGCCAAACAAACGCTGTGACCGTGAGGCTAAAGGAGCCCTGCCAAGAGTTTTGTTTGAATTGATAAATGGAGGTGTCTCAATACTCTTAAATATTTATTCTCTGCTGCTGCCCAAGCATCTGAAAGCTGACATTAAGTGCAAACAGCAAGAGCAAAACTCAACCCTCAAACTTTTAAACCTCATTAGGCTTTACAGATAAAAGAAAAAACCCTGACTATTTGGTTTCCATTTGGCAAAATACCCACAATTGCTCAGCTCAGATACCAACACATCTCACATCAGTCCTTTTCTTTCCTTTCAGAAGACCCAAATAACCAGATAAGAAAAGCAGATTTGTCATATTTAGCTGAAAAAATCTCTCTGTGGTTAGAATTACAAACTTTGTTGGCAGCAGATGAAGCAAGCTGTTTTAGTTTACAGTCATTTCTTAAATTAACTGTCCAGGAAGCTTTGAATAAACTTCTAAGCTGTCTGGTTAATGTACCCCATGCAATGCACTGTCTTTAAACAGCCAAATGTCATCTGCAATGAAGAATTTACTCCAGTTTCTGATTAAAGATACCAACATGACAAAACCTTTCATCAGTGGTGACAGAGCAAAGCTGCATAGATGCTTACAGATCTCAGGGTGGAGTCTTTTTTTATGTCATGCATAAAGACAAATTTAATTAGACGAGTTGTACCATCTGATTTGGAAGCCTCCATGTGGAGATTTTTTAGGCATCTTGCTACAGCACACACTGTAGGACCTACATTATTATAACTCTTGAGTTCTGAAAATATTTAGGTGACAAATTTGGCCGAACAAGAAGTATGGCTGAGATAACTGACAAGCAAGCACACTATCACAGCTTACAAGGAAGAAAGGCCAGCTTCAATTCTGCCTCAACCTACCAAAAGTTAGGTTGGTTCAGGTTTCATACAATTTATGGCACTATCCTAATTATTCCATTAAACTTGACCATTGTTTTTTTGCGTGCTCTTGCAGAAAGTTTGGTTCTTTTTCTGGATTGAGGGTTAAATATTACTCGTCTCAGACTTTAAACAGATTAGGACCGAAAATTTGCACGAAGAGCAGTTTAAACGAAAGCACTTGCAATGTGCAGCATAAACAACTTTCTGTTTACTTTTTATCATTACTACTGGATATTTGGATGCAAGTAAAGGTCCTTAAACACCAGGGCCGACGTGGATATAGAACGCGAAATCACGAAATATTCTAAGGTGAATTTTGACATGCCTGACTATACACGTCAAGCCCGATGCGACTTTGCAACTTTCCAGGGGGGAAAAGACGCATCCTGGATGGAAGTGAGAAGACTGACACAACAGCAGACTGACTGTTTTTCAGTTCTGATTAGACACTAGTGTTGAGATGACTGTCTGTCATGATAGCATGTACTGAGTCGGGGCCAGTACCAGATAAGCACATTAAACTATAATCCATAAACGTAAAAGAACAACCGAGACCTAATGGTGCTGTGACAGGAATGCAATTGAGTTTAAGACAGTGAAAATACATATGGTATGTTGTATCTGAACAGGTTAGCTTATGAGCTAAAGTTACTTAGCACAGATGAAAATTAAAACTAAGATGTTTAGCAAACTGTTAAAGCACACAAACCATCGTCATATGAGAAATCCGACGCTATGACTCTCCACAAGTTGTCCTTCAGATCGTTATCTTTGTAATATTTGTGTCTTTCATCAAAAATCACTCTGTTCTCCGACACGTAAACAATCAGCTGGTCGGCCATGTTGGATATACTATAATCTGATGTCACAACAACACGCAGTCTGATTGGTCAGAAGTGGACACACAGTATGCAAAACTTTATGCAAAAATCAACCATGATCCGAAAAAATAAACGCTGCAATATCGCATAATGGGAAAACTTCACTGATGTGAACGCTTGTATTGACAGGATATGGGTTCAAAAAGAAATATTGACGTCCAAAATAATTGCACGACAAAAATAGTCCTGGTGTGAAATGACCTTTAACCTTAAATGAAGTCAGTAATGGTGAACTTCTTAAACAGTTTCAATTATTGGTCATTGAAAGGTTTAATCATGTTAACAGCAACAGCACAGAATGTTAATCAAATTTATTCTGCAAACTTTGATTAGACCATCCCAATTTCTCTTCCTATCCAAGGACTGGTTCTACAGTTTGGGCATGCAGCTTGTCTATGAAGGCTACAGTGATCATGCACTGGTCTTAGGTTCAATTTCAAATAGCCTGGCGTGATTTAGCACGTCAGCCTCTATGAAGGCGATGACATGTGCAATGAAGTCTCAAGACAAATCATGAAAAGCAGAAACCCAAACAAAAGAGATCATAAACAAAGGCTACCAATTTTCGTCATCCTCCCTTCCTACTGGATGCGTTTGTGAGGCAAATTTCTTTGCGAATTCAGATAGAGGGAATTGCGAGAACTCACAAGACCCTGTGAATTCACGTGCAATCGCGTGATAACGAGTTGCCTCTATGAAGACAGCCACATAACCATATAAGCAGTAGATTTTGTCCTTCCATAGGAGGAAATCCACTTCTAGACTTCTAGAATTAGCATCTCCTCATCCAACATTAGAGCATGTTGGTTTTTAAGGGGACATTGGCTGAAGATCTCATGTGTCCTCTTGGGGACTGACTCAAAGACAAGGAAATTATTTTGTATGATACTTCTTATTCCATGTGCATTGAGAGCTTAGGTTTGTTGACGTGGTTGGAGTCATGTGGACACAATATTTCCTTTTACTCATACATAAGGGGATCCCCTCTGTCGAAAACCCTATCTACTCCTCCAACCAACTCTTCCAGCTGACTTGACAAGCTCCTCAAACTGGTAAAATGTTCAGAATCCAGTCTGTAAAAAAAAAGTAAGTCAACCTGAGTCCAGTTCAGGTCGGTTCACTCTCCCCAAACTTTCTGAACCGTTTTGTTTCATTGCAAATCGTTGGTCTAAACTGGCATTAAATTTTCAACAACAGCTCCTCCTGAGCGAGATATTTGAGTACTCATTTCCCCCCCTGAGGCGCAGGTGAATTATTCAAGCGCTACAATGTTCTTCCACTCTGTTACATGAAGAAGTGAACACTGGCCAGGTATCAGTCCTCTGGGTCCTCAAGCTCTAACCAGGATCTGCCACTACTCTGACCTTTGCTGTAACTGCAGAGCAAGGGGGAATTAGCATGGCTTAACTAGCTGCTAGTGGATCAATATGAGTTCCAGTGGGCGAGGGAGGGCGGGGGTCACAAGTCAGCGCAAACCCCCATGCTCAGCATCAGCTTTATCCCATTACCACGCTGTCTAACCGCCCTAAAAAACAACCACATCAACATCTTAGAGGTCAACATGCTAACCTCTTTATAACCCTATTTTACTCCTCCAACCAGCACCCAACCCCCCACTCCAAGTCTCCCCGCGGAGAGTCCAATTAAAGCTCTTTCTCGGCTCTGTCGAAGAACTGCACACGCTCCATCTTTCAGTAAAACAAGCTCCAAAGTTCAGCGAGGTGCTGAAACACAGATGCAGCTATCAATTATTTAGCAAAAGGTGAATATTTCACTTGTACTGGGAATACGGGTCAGGTCCTGTGGATGTTTGCAGGATAAATATTTAAAGATCAATATTTTATGGGTGTGAAAGAGAGAGGGGGACCTCGGGGAAATGGCGAGGAAGTGTGGATGAAAGCAAACAGTGACTCGGAGAGGAATCAGAAACCAGTCGGTCTGAGTGTGAAATAAATTCTGTAGCAGAAAGAGAGAGAGGTGTGTTCTGCTTTTGAATTAAAGATCTTTAAAGTTAGAGCGACGGGAACATGGATTGGCCTAGTTTCCCTCATCCATTCTCTAAAGGAAGCATTAACTCCATGTTTTATTGATGATCAGGTCGTCTTTTCTAAGCAATCTAATGAAACCAAGGCTGCTGAACGTCCCACGCTGCAGACTGAAAGAGGGGAGATCAAGTCTTCCCTCGCCTGGTTTTGTGCCACTTGATATTGGCCAGGTGTTAAGAGATTTACCTGCGTGATCCTCACCTCAGATCTAATTAGAAATCGAATTGATCGGATCAAGAACAGATGTGCTGCTCGGGCTGGAGGTAATCTGAACAGACACAGTGTTTTGAAGGCTTATTTGTTGAGATTTTCTCTCTCTGTCACAGAAACTTAAATCCACTGCCCCTGATCATTTCACACGATAAAGCATCTATTGTTCTGGACTGTTTGTCTAAGAGGTGGGTGTTTATTTGAGGGATTATTTCCGTGGAAGTGGAGTTGTTTTAAAGCCGCTGTTCAAACACCTGCATGCACACAGAGCAGTGTAAACTTATCCTATATGGAATATTTACCGAGACTGAATCATTCATTTACATGTTTGTACAGTCTGTTAATCCCTGCTCCTAACACTGGCAGCAAAAATACCTCAATCTAATTCAGTTGATGCAACAAAGATACAGATTTCCCTTCTCAATAACACTAACTTTAATTTGTCAATATACTGTTTTTTTTGTTTTTTTTTTACAAACCCAGTTCTGTAAGAGTCGAGACACTGTGTAAAATGTTGAGCTTTTGTTAAAAAATAAAGCAGAGACATACAAATAAAGTGTCAAAACCATATAGAATGGACGCCGTCTGCCTCCTTGCTGGGTGAAGCCACTCCGAGAACAGCACCCTCTGGTGATGGGCTGCAGTATAGGTCATAAATCCTGCCTCCTCCAGCAATCCCTATGAAGCTGTGGACAAACTTCAGAAATTTATTACACAGAATGTAAATTTTTGGTCGTAGCTTACACTCACATGCAGATGGATAAATGCTGATCCTAGCGTCAAAATTGTCGTACGCAAGGTGTACTCAAGTTTTCTGCCGTACGCAAGTTTGATAAATGAGGGCCAATGTTATATTTTCTCTTTATTTAGTTTTCTCCTGGTTTTATTTGAGTGCATTTTGTGTATTTGTGTTTCTAGTCTGGTTTTACTTCCCTAGTTTTCCCCCCCTCGTTAATCAGTCATGAGTTTCACCTGTGTCTCGTTAGCCTCACCTGTTGCTCATCTGCCTCACCTGTTGCTCGTTTCCCAGCCTGTGTATACAGTCCCTGTCCTACCCTCTGTCTTTGTTGGTTCATTGTGTGTGTGCTTGTTATGTCTGCCAGTTCACCCTGTTCCTCTATGTGTGAATCTTAGTCTTCTTGTGTTTTTTTTTTGTGTTTTTTTTCCCAGTGCTTTTTGTTTGATTTTGCCTTTGGGATTTCTCAGTTAGACATTAAGAGGATAGTTGTTGTTGCTTTTCATTTAGTTCTTTTAATAAATCATTTTTAATCTGCATTTTTGGGTCCTTTTTTTTATGTTGTTCAACCCTGCGCCTTGCCACACAGTTCATCACTGAATCCACATATGAGGTTAAAACTGAACCACGAAAGAGGAAACCAGATAGAACACCTAATCCAGAAACACCACAGACTTCTGAGCCCATTTAAAGTGGATTTAGGGGAAGAGGACAACTGTCCTGTGAGCAGTTTGACACTGTTTATACAAATCATGGACACAGGGACTTACTATGTTGTTTATTTATAAATCAATTTAGACCAGGTTCTGTAAACAACAGTTCCCTGTGACCAGATGGTGACTATCCATTTAACATTCACAGTGACACCCTTCGTAATCATAATGTAGGGTGAACGTACAGTATGTCCTCCAGTACCAGATAAGCACATTAAACTATAATCCATAAACGTAAGGTAACAACCGAGACCCAATGGTGCTGTGACAGCAACGCATTGAGTTTGAGACAGTGAAAATACATATGGTATGTTGTATCTGAACAGGTTAGCTTACGAGCTAAAGTACTTAACACAGATGAAAGTTAAAACAAAGACGTTTAGCAAACTGCTAAAGCACACAAACCATCGTCATATGAGAAATCTGACGCTATGACTCTCCACAAGTTGTCCTTCATTTGTGTTTTTCATCAAAAAGCACTCTGTTGTCCGACACATAAACAATCAGCCAGTTGGCCATGTTGGATATACCGGTGAATCTGACGTCACAACAACACGCAATCTGATTGGTCAAAAATGGACACACAGTACGCAAAACTTTAGAAAATTCAACCGTGATACAAATAAATAAATGCCGCAATATCGCAGGACAGGAAAACATCGCTGATGTGAACGCTTGTATTGACAGGATACGGGTTTGAAAAAAAATATTGACGTCCGTAATAATCGCATGAAAAAAACGCTCCCGTAGTGTAAGGACCTTAACCCTCAATATTTACGAAACACAACTCTGTGACTCCACCCCACTTGGTCGTGTCCTCTTTTTAGGGATTAAGAAGATGGTAACCCCCCATGATGCAAAGTGCTGATGTATAAGACTAAAAAGACTCACTCTACAATTTTTTATACAATTTCAATTCCGTGGTAAATGTCGACAAAAAGTTTTCGATGGCAAATAATGAAGCAAACGCTGGTAACTTCTCTTGGCCTGTTTAATATAGACTGAAAGGAAGTGGAAACTGATGAATGAAAATTTGACATTCTGCCTGCAGTCTTGACTTATAACCTAGTGAAAACATTTAGAGCATCATGACACCAAAAATAGGACACAGCAGACCCCCTTACATAAAAAAGACTGACATATTTTATAGCCAATTTGCGAAAGCTGCTGGCTGCTCATTACCACGTCTGTTCCCACTCACTGAAAGTGATCATACTGATCCTCCTGTCTTTAAGAATGCAAAGCCTGTGCGCCCGTTTTGACTCAGAAACATATGTATAATGTATAGTGTATAGCCTCTATAGTGAAGCCTGACTAATTAACTTTGGTCTGAACCAATCTACATAATGAATAAAGTCAGGGGGCCCTCACTCCAGGATGTTAATGGCTGTGCATTTACAATTAGAAAAAAATTTCCCGAATGCACAGCGGCGTCTGTAATGATGATGACTGTTGTGTTGCTCTCTGATGATCCACACGCTGAATTACACAGTAAGACAAAGTTGTCATTATGCTGCTGTTGTGCCAGATGGGTTCGGACAGCCTGCTTTAAAGCACTTGAAAAGTCATTTCTTTTGAAATGCATAGAATAAATGATAGCCTGGCAGACGATGCTCTACATCTGTTTCCGGCTGGAGATGATTATGATGTATAGCGACTCGGGCTACAGTTGTGTTCGACTGAAAATATTACACAGAAATAGAATTATAGAAGAAAGCATATGTTTGTATAATCAGAGGGAAATTGCTGTTATTTTGTGATTTGTGTTTCATTTATTATTTTTTTCCTTTTTTGCAGAATATATCTCAGTAATTCAAATGGAAATGTTGCAGTGTGACTCCCAGAACAGACTAATTCTGCAGTTTTCTTTTCCATTACAGAGAACTTAACATTAACACAAAGAAAATCATGGAAACCTGTCTCAGGTGTGTTTTGAAGATTACCATGTTTATGCCAGTGCTGATAAAGAGGTGAACTATTTCAGTCAAACTGTTAGCAACAGTATTTGTGAATTAGAAGTATTGACTAGATGATTGATTTTTATTTTACAATGAAGCTTCTTTGCATAGAAAGTTGCATATTTTGCTCCAGGTGAATGCACAGTGGATGCAAACAACACTGACGCACAGGGATGCAATTTGTTTTGCGGTGCAGGTTGTAGAGCATCTAGTGCATGCCTCGCTAATTAGACAATATCTGTCTCTTTTAAGTTGTTTACGTTGGTGCAAAAGCTGTGGTTTGTGTTTCAGGCAGTGAAAGTAAAGGTGGTGGTGATGCATTTTTCCGTCATTTAGCTATAAGGTAGGTTATTTCCCATCTAAAAGGTCCAACAAGAGCGTTTTCTTCGTGCGATTATTTCAGATGTCAATTTTTTTTTTGAACCCGTGTCCTGTTAATACAAGCGTTCACATCAGCAATGTTTTCTCCGTCCTGCGATATTGCGGCATTTATTTTTTCATATCACTGTCGAATTTTCTAAAGTTTCGCAAACTGTGTGTCCACTTCTGACCAATCAGATTTTGTGTTGTTGCGACGTCAGATTCACTGGTATATCCAACATGGCCAACCAGCTAATTGTTTACGTGTCAGAGAACAGAGTGCTTTTTGATAAAAGACACAAATATTACAAAAATAACGACCTGAAGGACAACTTTGGAGAGTCATAGTGTCGGATTTCTCATATGACGATGGTTTGTGTGATTTATGAGTTTGCTAAACGACTTTGTTTTAACTTTCATCTGTGCTAAGTAACTTTAGCTCGTAAGCTAACCTGTTCAGATACAACATTCCATATGTATTTTCACTGTTTCAAACTCAATCGTGTTGCTGTCACGGCACCATTAGGTCTCGGTTGTTACCTTATGCACTAGTTGTGTATAGTCAGGCGCGTTAAAATTCTCCTCCGAATATTTCGTAATTTTGCGTCATTCCTGGTGTGTAAGGACTTTTAGATAAGTACCTTCAACATAGACAAACTTTGATAACCCTTTAGACAGCAGATATGAATTTTCTGGGAGTCCAAACCACCCATAGGAACCCTGAATCAAGCCCGTCATAGGTCATTCATGAACCAGCATGGGAAAATAATACAGGGCCAATACTGACTGTTCTCTATGCAAGTATTCAAATTGGCACAGATTCAACCAATTTGGGACAACTTGGACTTGTTAACCTGGTTATCTAGGGTGAATTTTTGGTTGTTTTCTTAAAACAAATAACTAATCCACATTGTAGTTGCATTTTAACCTCCAATGCTCTTGCATAAAAAAGTAAGGTAGAGCATGTTGATCTCTTTGGAAAGGTCTAACTTTGACAGTTCTCCTGTTGAATGCTGACATGGTTTTACAGAAGTCAGCAAAATGCCTTCAAACCAGAAAAAAAACGTGCTAGATATACTCATATGCAGACCTGAGAGTTGTTCAAAAAACTATAAAAGCACGTTTCCCACCTCCAAAAATAAATATCAGTCAAACAGAGCTGTTGCATGCATGAATTTTTAAAACTAAAGAAATATAGAGCGGCACTTTCTCCTTGGAAACCAGACAAAGACAGCCTTATAGATGTAACATCAATAGTGCATCGGTCTCCGCGGATGCTTAATGAGTTTTCAGCTGCAGTGGCCGTGAGCTCTCTATAGGGACTGTCAGAGTCAGGTGGGCGGTGATGGAAAATCATAAGGCTCATTTAGCCATGCCTGTCTTGTGACACTGGAGGACCCTCATTTACATGTCACAAGGTGATCCTGAGCTCTCTATCGACCGGCCGCCCCAAACAACTGATGTGTATAAATTGCGTCTGTAACAGGTATGGACGTTTGGTTTCAGGCTTCGTTACAGGACTGAATATGTGAGCGGTAATGTGCGGCAGGTCGATGGTGGATTCATTTTGCCATTTAGAAAAGGTCTCTTCCTATTATACCGCTGGAATGAGAGTCCCTTTTCATTCTGTCCGCTTGACTTAAAGTTGGCTAAATATGGGAGAAAGTGAAATCTAAGAGGCGTGAGTGGCATGCAAATCAGGATCACAAGGACGAGGAGCTGGCTGACTCTGTGACGTCCTGACAGGCTTCTATGCTCAGGTTTGTGGGATCATTTGAGGATCGGAAGGACTTTGTATGAACCATCACAGGAGTTTCTCCTTAATTATTATTTAAAGACTGCCTGTCTGGACGTCAACTCATCGCCAGCTACTGTTATTTTAAAAATGTCACTATCTTTTAGCTCTTCCCTTTCAGATCCACTCAAAATTCCCCCATGGTACGTAGCTGAGGGTTTGACAGGGACTAAAAATACCCCGTCCTCAGAGTCAGATCTGACAGCTGGTTAAAAAGCCTCCTGTTTGCACTTTGAAAAAGTTCAACCCTAAAAACGAAGGACAGCAGTCATAAATGTGGTGACAAATGATGGCAAATATTAGTCAAAGAACATCCCATAATGAGTGTTTGACAACCTGTGGTATTACAGATTAAGTTAGAGAGTCTTTTTGGAGAATCTAATGAGAAGAGCCCAAAAACCTACAATCTTTTAATTACTTTTTGGCTCCTTATCCAAAGTCTAGTTGGTATGTCTGCTCAGGACACACCTCTACAAATGACAATGAAATTTCACATCTCACAAGATGTCGATGCAAAACTGACTCACAAGACTTGGTGAAGAAGTTAAAGTCAAACTACAGCCATCGACCAATCAGCACATGTTCTTCACATACACGTGACTATCATTGCGCAGAATGGTTTTGATATTTTACAAGGGGAGTGATACAGTGTCAGCAAGCTTCTGTAGAAGTCGAGGATATAAAAAATAAAAGCAAAAAACGGGACCATTTTGAGCAGAAAAATGAGGTTTGCTGCAAACACGGCAATGCAATGTACAAGTAAAACACGACAACGACCCCAATGATGTGCCATTTGAACCACATATATCCCACAGAGGTTAATTAATCATCTGAGTGCTCTCAGTTTCACTCTACACTTGGCTCCTTGCTAGCAAGGAGGAACTGTAGGGTGACCAGACATCCCGGATCTCGGAGGACAGTCCCCGTTTTAGATAACCTGTCCTCAACTAAAGTTGTCCCTGGAAATGTCCCTGATTTTAGTGTTTCATGAATAAGAGGAAAAAACGGTTATTAGGATAGCCGGGCAGGTAGCAACTGAGAGTGTTTATGTAGCGCACAGTTGGGAGGTGGGGTGGGAGTGTATTTCGCACACAAAAATTTGAAAAAAATTACCTAAACAATGACTGATCATTAATTTATATGATTAATCGATCAAGGGACTGTCTTAAAATATCCATTCCTAAAACAGACAAAAAAAAAAAAAGAGAATGTAAGGGGTGTGTTTCAATGAGGAAAAACCTGGTTTTTTTTGCGTATTTTCTGCCATTTGCACAAAAAAATTATATCAAATCGATGATTGATCATTAATTTATATGATTAATTGATCAAGGGACTGTCTTTAAATGCCCACTCATAGAATAGACCAAACAAAAAAAATGAATGTAAGGCCTGGGATTTTTTTTTTAATTTGATGTGTAGCCTTCACAGACCTATTTCAAAACACAAGCACAACTACTTTTGTATTTATTCAGTCATATAAACTTAATTTTATTAGTAATATGATATTACTATTATTTTCTGTGAATGTTCTGTCAAAGATATCAGCATGATAAGTTTTATACTAGAAACAAGATGGACGACTGACAATAATGAGTAGCTTTTCTGGAAAACAATCCACTCTTTGGTGATCTAGTACTTCAGAGCAGAATGGCGAATTTAAAACATTGAAAGCTCTTTCACCAAAAACAGAGTTAGTATGAGGAATTTGTCCATGAGACCAATGTTCAACCTGCCGACAGTTTTAAAGATCAGAAAGACCTTAAATAAAAATCTAGGTTGGACACCATTTTGCTAGATTATAAACCTTCAGCTTGGGCACATCTTAATTCTCAAACCATTTTGCCCTGCACTAGTTACCCTCTGTTAAAGGAAGCAAATGATCAGCTGTGTTGAAGGTCTTTGGAAAGATAGAAATATCTCATATAGAGAGGCACAGAAAGCTCCAGTGTTGCCACAGGTCAAGCTATTCACCTACCAACATCTCTTCTGTCTCTGCTCTTCTGCATGAATTCACTAAAGTAACAGCTGACTGGAACGATTCCTCTATTTTACAGGCTACAGTGCAGATTCATTTGAAGAAAAGGGCCAGCCCTTCAGGACACATAGAAAAACAAGAACCATAGGTGCTAACCAACAACCTAGTATAATCAATGGTTGTCTGCCTGGTTCCTTCATTTTCCCGGTGGTCTGAGCCCCAGTGACCAAACAGATGCTCCAAAAACATCATTCTTGACATATTATGAGTTTATCATGATGTGTTGTGACATATTTTAGTACGCTTATCATTTTAGCACCACACATCCAAGTCTTTATCTGCTTAAGTTAGGAATTTATGATCGTTATTGAGCAGCCTCCCAGGCTGCCTGTTTAAAAAAGCAAAGCAGAAAATAGAGGAGAGAGAGGCAGCGGTAATTTCTTCACGCCATCCAGCCTCTCTGCCACAGATGACCCTCGAGTATTGGTCCTGGCAGAGAGCTACAATTATCATTCAGCAGGAGTGAAGGACTCTGTTTGATATCTGCCAAGGTAATTTAGTGGGAAAGATTGAACAGAGTTTTCTTTTTTTCTCCTGCTTCCCCTCAGATTGAGACTGACCCCTCTGCATATGGAGTGAGGATGCCTCCAGCAGCAGCAGCAGCAGTATCCCCCTCATCCAAACACAAAACACATTCAGAGCATGTCTGTTAGGGGCTCCAACAACTATTTACCTGACTGTCACTGTCCCCTGAAAGCAGGGTCACCTGTCGGGGCAGAGCTGGTTTCATGGAGCTCTTTGATTGGCTGCTTTTAAAAGGCGGGCTGGTTTTTACAGATTTGGACTTCAACTGATTTAAAATGAGGATTATGACAGCTAGAGCCTTCAAGCTCCTGACTTTATTCTACCACACCATCCTGTTGTGTTTTTGTAGATCAGATCATTGTGTTTTTGTCAGGTACGGAAAAATAAAAGTGTAACAGCATGATATTGGCATTTAGATTTATGTAAAGTATCATCATTAACTGCTTATATCTCCTGTCATTGTGACTTATGTTTGTTTGTTGTGTTGTTAGTATGTTTGATTACATGCAGTAAAAGGGTAAAATGATCAAATGCAGGCAACTAAACTGGCCTTATTATTATTATTATTTTGATATTTTACTCAAACTTACTGACAACCTTGATAAAAAAAAAAAAAATCAGGATGCTGTGAAACATGTTCAAACAGAATTTTATAGTTTAATCCCTACATTTAGTTAAAAAAAATTGTGCAAAGACAATACTTAGAGTGTTAAAACTGAAAAGTCTGGTTTTACTTCCCTAGTTTTCCCTCCTTCGTTAATCAAGTTTCACCTGTGCCTCGTCTGCCTCACCTGTTGCTCGTTAGTGCTCGTTATCTTATGTGTACATAGTCCCTGTCTTCCCCTCTGTTCTGGTTGGTTCATTGTGTGAGTGTGTGTGAGAGAGTTGTGGTCCCAGTGTATGATTTGGTCCCAGTGTATCATTATAAGTAACACAAAGCTTTAATATTTTCATTTGTATCTGCTCCTAAAGAACTCCTAAAACTTAAAACAAGTCAAAGATACAATCATGGCATGCATTTCATCAGTGTTGCAGTCACTCCATGCTATCTAAGAGGGAACTTATTATTTCTCAGCCAACAGGGAACCTCTGTTATGCTATTTTTAGGAGTTTTTTTAGGAGCGGATTCAAATGAAAATATAGAAGCTTTGTGTTACTTATGATGATACTCTGGGACGCTAAAGGCTCTGGGGAAATATTTATCAAGGAATGTCAGTTACACTCTGGGAGTGTGAGCATCGCTCTATACCATTCAACAGGGCACCGTTTGTCATATTGTTCAGACAAGGTGGGGACTCAGTATTTACTTACAGTATCACAAAGAACTTCTTTATAATGGTGAAAATCTGACTGTTTAAAAGTATATTGTGAAACTGTTACGAAGAAAGGGAATCTTGAAATTTAAAATTTAGAAAAGAAGTTCTGGCACAAAATACCTGGTCCATCAAGAGCTGTGCATGCTGGAACAAACTGCTATTAGCTATTAGGGCCCCACGTTTGCTGCTCTTTTCAGCTAATTCCTATTTTTACCAGCACTATACCTAGTATTTATATCCTGTTGTATACTATATTGTATTTCTGGCAATCAAGATGACAGTACTCTGTATTGTGAACATGCCCATGAATGTACACTGTCCCATTTAAATAAACAATTAACTAAACAAAACTAAAAGAGAGAAATATTTTAATAATTATAACATCTTGGTTAAATCAGCCATTCTTGAAAAGAACAAAGAAAATCGGTGTAAACAAGCTCTCATCAGAAGTCTGAATGTGTTCAGACAGCTGCACTGCAATAGATGGAGGTCCTGTGTTAGACAGGTAGATCTCACTTAAAGTTCCAAGTCCCCTTTTGGCAATTTAAAAAAATTGCCCACTCTCCTGGTGTTTTTTTTACCAGCGTCATTTGTTTGACTTTTGTCCTTTTTTTTTTTTTTCCATTTAGTTCTTTTTAAATTAATCATTTTCTGTCTGCATTTGGGTCCTTTCTCTTTTGTTTAACTCTGACTCATGACACCAGTTAATCAATATTTTACATGGCATCCTAACTCTTTTAGAATTAAGGGTGTAAAAATATGATCTTTTACAGCGACTCTATGAAGGATGGTATTATGCGCATTAAATGCACTGTCACAGTCCAGTTACAGGGAGTTCATATGTGCATAACCTGGTCTGAATTGATCACAGAACACTAAGTAAATGAAATCAATAACTTTAGATTTCATTGAAACTGACTGGGGATTATAAGAATCAAGAGAAACTCAAAGAAACATGCCAAAAAAAATCAAATTCTACAAACTGAACAACCAGAAAGCTCTGGTAACCTGCTCATCACATAGAAAATAATAACAAGAAATGGGTCGCTTCATTTTAAATTGACGAATAATATGAATTTGACTAATTTTGTGTTTTATTATTAAATTTAAAAACAGTCCAGTTCTGACATTCTCCTTATTGACAGAACATTTGTTGTTTTTTTGTCTATAGATAAATTAAATATAATGCATTGGAGGATACGTCCAAGACATCATAAGTACAAAAATAATACCAAAAACAATTCAGGTCCATGTAAATTCATTTCCTCTGCAGAGTGAAGGTTCTGGTCAAACTGAATCCACAGGAGATAGATAATTTAAGCTAGGTAAAAGCTTCCTGGAAGCATCTATATCATGTTAATCATCCTCTTCCTGGTACGACCGCTGCAGCGTCTACAGTGGAGCATTAATCATTTCTGCATCGCTCGCTGTGACCGCTGCTGTATCTGAGAATCTGACAGTGTGGCTCCATGATGCAGAGATGCAACTACATTCTCCTTCAGAGTCTGCTGCACCTAAATGACATTTCATAAGCGATGAATAATTCAGTCGCCACGTCTTTTTAGGCCGAGTTTAAAAAATCAACCACGTCCTCTGTGAGCAGGAAAGTGAGAGTTTGCAGTCAGGCGGTGTTTGCATGTTGGTGGTAGTTAAATCAACCTCATCTTTGCATACAGGCTTGTGTTCCTTTAGAGATTATAACAGCCTCAGCAAAAAAAAAAAAAAAAGACTGCTGGACATGTTTTAGAAGCTTTGCACTTAATTGGTGTAAATGAACAAAATTCACACTCCAGGCTTTGTGATTATTATGTTTGACATCTGAGGCTTGCTCTCTTTTTATCTCGCTCTCAACAAAGTTTTCCAGATGAAAGGCGATCAGTGTGCAGATAATGTGTCTAACGTTACCTTTTGGAAATAAAGTATTTTTATCGTCAAATGTCAGTGTGTTGTCGGAGTTTAATAGATTGAAATTGAAGTTGAATAGTTGAAGAATCCTAGGGTATATTGGGTTACAAAAGATGTCCCTGAAGTAACCTTCATGGCCCAGAAAAGAGTTTTTAGGATGGAAAAGCTCTGCTGAGGTGCAAAGGGTCTTCACATGTGTAACCAAGGCCCCGTTTACACCTCCCTGGTTATTTTTAAAAACTGAGACATGAACCATTGTTTGCACCCTTTGTTTAGACACAAACAAAGAATTCGCCCCTGGAAATGATGCTTTGGCCAGACATCTCTTGATCTCTTTGTTGACTACTTCACGAAAATGGTAATACACCTCGCCTGTGGCGGATTTAAAGGCAAGGAGAGGAGCTGATGTGATTGGTGAAAACAGGTCTCGGCTGTGTTAAACTCACTCCACGCCCTCTCTCCTCCCTTGCTACAACTTATGCCGCTGGGAGGAGCTGAGTTAGGGACGGGGGGATACTTACGCTGGGCTGCTCACCAAAATACCAAATTGTGCTTGGGAATGCCTTGTCAGCGCGGTGGACCTGACTTACGCTGCGCCTGCGGCACGTCTCCGGCGAGGCACGAAAATAGAGCCCACTGTTTATAGGACTTCTACAACTAGCACGTTTGCACGTTTACATGTAAACAGAGAAAAACTGAGATTTGGGTAGCCGACGGCAGATTGTACGCCGGACACTGGGTTAAATGCCACGTTGTTTACAATCTACAGTTTGTGTTTACAATCTATGGTGATCGTGGATGCATGCAGAAAAGCAGTTTCATTTGCTAAGGCAATCCCTCTGTATTGGTTTGCATTTGCAAATACAAGTTGACAAGACAAGTTGCACCTGGAAAAAAAAAAAAACTACTGTCTACTGCTTGGTTTGTTTGACATCATGTCATTTAAAGAAGCATCTTTGAGTTCTTGAATCATTATTTATCCACATGTCGCAGTATTTTTTGTTTCTAAGTATACTCCAGCTTTTGTTTCCTTTATCATTTCATATCTATTTTTTATGCAAATTGAATTAAACATATTTATGCAAACACCGAAGCCCTGCAGCCAGTTGGAGGTAAACTGCAGTTTAATTTGTGGAGGAGTAAGACGAACTAATGGCCTGACTCATGCTCCTTATGTATCATAAACTGTGATCAATGGGTCTGGTGTTGAATCCACTGCAGACATCAAAACAGATCAATCTCATTTTACTGCATGATCTTTACACATGACCCGAGTTATTGATCTATCGACTGTTATCTCAGCTAACACAAGCTGCTTTACAGAAACAAATGAGACTCAAATGTGACAGGTATAAATCCTGAGAATCTGAGTGACATTCAGCCTCATAAATCCTCCTCGTCTGATCGAGCTGCAGCCAAAGGTCGCTGTAAACCTCTGCTGAGGCGTTACAGAAGGGACAGAGACGTTTTTGACATTTCCAATAAGTCACCGCTGTCAATAGAGAAGGTATATAAAGTTCACTGAGTGTTTGCTAAGGATTAAGCAGGGTACAGTCGTGTTTGGACGGCTCCATCTATCAAGCACTAAAAGTGAAGCAGATATGCATTGGGTCATCCCTCTCCTTGTCACACCATAAGAGTCGGCGTGCGTGTTCATAAATCTTCAGCCTGTTTGCCTCTGAGAATTACCCTGACACTCTGAAACCATCCTGCAGCAACAGATGCTACTCCTGATATTCATAAATTGATGATAATACATGCTACATCATCTGATTATGCATGTTTGCTGTTGTTCTCTACAGTTTGGCCGCAAAAGCAAGAAAAATTATCAACCCCCTGCAGGATGATAGCATTTAATGATTATTTTCATCATTTATACAGTATGTCTGCTGGTTATTCCCAAGATTAATGGGTGAATGGTTTTAATTAGTGGTGCAACGGAACACATTTGGACCAGACCACCCTGAGGGTTTGGGAAAAAAAATATCATCACGGCTTAAAATCATTTTGCAATCAGTGTTTATCTGCTTCCTGAAGGACTTGCATCAGGTTTAAATGAATACAAGCATCAGAAAGATTCATATGCATCCATGCATAAGTGCAATATATATTGAGCAGATCAAGAAGCAGGAGCAGCAGACTGGGACAGTTTATACCTAGTTGGATGGTTTCGGGTTGGATTGTGCAGGCTAAAGAGAGCTCGGGTGGGTGGACATAATCCAGGCTGGTTTTCCATGAGAAACAGGCATGTTTTTAATTGTATCATAAATCACAGTATTTTAAAAACACATCTTAAATAGAATAGATAATACCGCATCAACGCTCCCAATCCAGGGGCGGCCGCTGTAGTCTATTAAAGCTGCATTTTTAACTCTGTTTCATTAATTACAAGGGACAATGCACATGAACATAGGTATGTAAATGTGCCAGAGTGTCGCCATAGACTAATTTCCATCAGTGGTTCCCTGGCAGGATGGTTACAAACATATAAATGTACATTAGGCATGAAGTGAAATTGAATTAAAAGTACGAGAATGGCTGCAAAATACTCTCTGGACAAACCAGGAGCAAAGCTGAATTTAGAGTGAGAGTGCATTAGAGATGATACGACAAGTGGTGAAGTTCCAGAGTTTTAAAGCGCTAAAGTGCACATGATGGTAATGGTTCTGGTGTAAGTTGCACCTTTGCCACAGGCCTGTCAATTTAAAGGGCTTGTTTGATTGTGCAATGCCAAACTGCACAAAAAACTTGAATGAACTGACGTGTTTTAACGTGTGCTATCGCACAGGGAGAGCGTTCAAAGAGAGCTGTATGTATGCACAAGGTCATAGAAATGGATTGACCCGACCTTGACCCTACAAAAGTTGCAAAGCTAGGGCGCCTTCCATCTAAAGATGTTTGAATGTTGGATTATGTTTACACGTGCCCGGCTATTTTCATAAAAGGACATTTCACCCTCTCTTTTTACAAAAAAAAGAAAAAAACTGTGTGCACACTACTACGTTTTCAGAAAAGTTTTCCTTTACACTTAAGGTCCTTACACATCGGGACTGACGCAAATTTACAACACGTTACAAAATATTCTACTACAGAGCTTTGTGGAATGTGGTTTGTTTCTTTCTGTCTGTGTTTTATTTATTTATTTATTTATTTTCTATGTGAGTTCACTCATGAATAGAAGACAATGTATCATAAAACTCATGTAAAACATGTAGAAATGCAGCCGGCCATCTGCTCATCTGCTCAATCCAACACAGTCGAGCATTAAACCAGCACAAGAGGCTGGATTGGCTAGATACACATGTCTACAGTGAGGTGGGGAGCATGTGTTGGGTATTAATTGACCCTTGAGAGCCAAAATGGTACTTCAATGAATCAGAATTATGGCTGTGATCCTCCTCTGCCTCCCCTCCAAAATTTCAGCTTATAAAATATGGCTGTGACGGCTTTGCTGGGCCTGCAGGTACACCCTGCAGCAAAGCAGGAGAAAATCATGGTTGGATTTTTAGATTATGGTGGAGAAATTGTGGACAACAATTATGTTAGTACCATCTTGGTGTCCAGGTGGGGGCAAAAGATCAATAATGAACAAATCAAACAAATTCAGAAGCGTCTAATGAAATCTGTGGCTTTGAAGATGGGGATGTCTCAGCGTTTTATTCTGTGATCTGTTACTGTGAGAATCATTTCTCTAATGTTCTCACACACTGAAAGTAACAATCTGAGCATGCCAACATTCTTGGAGAACAGAATATAGAGAAAAAGTTTGTTTGTCCTGGGATCTTGCAACTTTTTTTTTTTCGGATCATGGTCGATTTTTCCAAAGTTTTGCATACTGTGTGTTCACTTCTGACCAATCAGATTGCGTGTTGTTGCGACGTCAGATTCACCAGTATACCCAACATGGCCGACCAGCTGATTGTTTACGTGTCGGAGAACAGCGTGCTTTTTGATAAAAAACAAACACATTACAAATATAACAACTTGTGGAGAGTCATAGTGTCAGCTCTCTCATATGACGATGGTTTGTGTGCTTTAACAGTTTGCTAAACGTCTTTGTTTTAACTTTCATCTGTGCTAAGTAACTTTAGCTCGTAAGCTAACCTGTTCAGATACAACATACCGTATGTATTTTCACTGTCTCAAACTCAATTGCGTTGCTGTCACAGCACCATTAGGTCTCGGTTGTTACCTTACGTTTATGGATTATAGTTTAATGTTCTTATCTGGTACTGGCCTCGACTCAGTACATGCTATCATGACAGACAGACATCTCAACACTAGTGTCTAATCAGAACTGAAAAACAGTCAGTCTAATAATAATTTTAAAAGGAGTACCAATTTGCCATCACTTGAAGTTGAAGTAGACTTCATTTTTGTCTTCGCACTTCCACCCGGGACGTGTTTTTTTTCCCCCGGACGTTGCAAAATCACATCGCACTTGATTTGTATAGTCAGGCGCGTCAAAATTCGCCTCTGAATATTTCGGAATTTCTTGTCGTATATTTGCACTGTTCCCAGTGTGTAAGGACTGAAGTCAGAATTCTGCCTTTAATCTATGAATTCTGACTTTTATGTCAGAATAATAATAAAAAAATATCTATATTGGCCTTTTCTCTTTTTTTTCTAGTGGCCCTAATCCTCTTGCGTATAAACTCTCTCTTACAGTCTAAGTTGAAGTTCTCTGCTCCCCTGCACAGACCCTCAAAGTGTAATCAGTGTTAAATTGAGTGTTATGTGAGAATATGTTCTATATATAATATGGTGAGAGTTATTTGGAGATTTGTCCCTCAGTGCTCAAGCAGTCCTGCTCCCTAAAAAGTGTGCTTTAACATGACTCATGCTCCAAACATCTGGTCTATTTTCTAAGAAGTGCTTAGTGAACTCTATTATATCCAGTGTCACCGCTCCCCCCGACTGTTTAATTAGACCAGCAGCTGTAAGAGTGATCCCCCCATGGACTGACAGCCAACACCCTGTGGGAATATGCTGATCGCCGTCTGGTCAGGCCCATTCACAAGCAATTTCTCTTTAGCTCATCACCTCAGGCTCGCTGTAAGAGAGTGGCTTTATATGCGCCACAATCCCACACACAGTAAAAGCGAACAGGAAATGGGAAATGACAGGATTAATCCTTGATTCCTGCATTATGTTAATTGGAGTAATTGTCCTCCATCCCCTTGAGTTTTCTTCTCCTTCCTGGAAGTTCAATCTTTAGCGTTATTCCGTTTTAAGACCAATGCAGAGCCGGGAGTGAATCATCCTCCTGGGTCTGCTCTTTTAAAAAGGACATTAGTTATGGCTTCTTTACATCCAGTGTAAGTGCAGATGGGTCTTGGTGATTCACTTCCTCCTTACAAAATCCTGCCTCTGTTAAACAATTGGAGCCAGAGAATAGCACTTAAATTTCTGCAAGACAAACACACCTTCAGCAGCGACGTTATTACCTTTTTGGTGGTGTAAATCGAACGTAGCTTAGGCTGAGTGATGGACCGCGGCAAGACAAATCTCCATCCTCGGAAAAGTGCTGACTTTAAGGCAAAAAATGGTAATAGATTCTCAAAGTGAGGGGCCATTACTGGGGCAGCATGCAAATGATGGCTGAAGAAATAATCTACAAGGTGTTATTGAACCCTGGGTTTAAGGCGGAAGGGAAGGCCTCTGTGCATTCCCCCGTCGAAGCAGCGTAATGTGCGGCTTGTAATTAGATATTGATTCACTTTGTGGACGAGTATTTCAAACCAGTGTCCTCCTCCGAGGGAGAAGAGGATGCATAAAAGTCTGAATGCATCTTGTTAGGACTAAAATGTAATATCTTCATACAGCTGTGAGATTGCCACGGTGGAGTGAATAATTACTTCTCTCTAATGGAAAGAAAGGGTAACTGGTGATTTGGTGGGAGTAAAGTAATAGTTTCAGTGTCCTTGGGAGATTCTTTTACACGCTTATGCCTCAGGTTCTTAGCATGCTTTTACTGCAGGAATAATGCCTCACCACTTTACAGACTGCACGCTTATTCACCTCAGACTCAAAATTCATAATCGATATCCGAGAGAAGAGGAGAGTGGATGGATTGTGTTTGAAAGATGCCGTGAGAAATGATGACTGCGTGTCTGAGAGATGTTGATCTGATTATGTTGATTGCGTCATGGACACAAGAAAGGTTCTTTAAAGGAAGGATGCTCCAGGTTCAAGCGTAGATAGTCACCTTAGCTTGGTAGTTGTAAAGGGCCCTAGATTTATGAAAGTCTGCACATGGGCTAAATATTTTAGGATAAATTTTCAGACAAATACTGCTTGGATTGGTATGAAAATGATGCAGCTGTTATTTTCACCCAGAAGATGAATCTCAAATATTCTGGTGATGATTGATTTTTTATCTATAGGCCCAGGCTTGTGATACATTCATTTTAAGGGGGTTATATTTGGACCATAACAGAATGGGACTACAAGTGTTGAGGATTTTTGGAGCACCATTCCTCTTATCATCTTATCCGCTGATATTTCATGGCAACACCTTTAAGGGCGCATTTACATCAGGACTGTTTGGTTCATTTTAAAAGGACCGTGGTCTCCTAACTCTTTCAGTCTAGGTGGTATGAACACGCAAGCAAACTGTGGTCCAGATCAAATAAACAAACCGTGGTCCTCTTGAAAATGCTGAACTCAGTTCTCTTCCAAACGAACCATGGTCCGGTCCACGGTGGGTGTGAACGCAGTCTTAAGGTCCTTACACACAGGGAACGACGCAAATATACGACGTGAAATTACGAAATATTCAGAGGCGAATTTTGACGCGTCTGACTATACACATCAAGCGCAATGTGATTTTGCGACTCTCTGGGGGGAAAAAAAGACACGTCCCGGGTGGAAGCGAGAAGACTGACACAACAGCAGACTGACTGTTTTTCAGTTCTGATTAGACACTAATGTTGAGATGTCTGTCTGTCATGATAGCATGTACTGAGTTGGGGCCAGTACCAGATAAGTACATTAAACTATAATCCATAAACATAAGGTAACAACCGAGACCTAATGGTGCTGTGACAGCAACGCCATTGAGTTTGAGACAGTGAAAATACATATGGTATGTTGTATCTGAACAGGTTAGCGTATGAGCTAAAGTTACTTAGCACAGATGAAAGTTCAAACAAAGACGTTTAGCAAACTGTTAAAGCACACAAACCATCGTCATATGAGAAATCCGACGCTATGACTCTCCACAAGTTGTCCTTCAGGTCGTTATCTTTGTAATGTTTGTGTTTTTTATCAAAAAGCACTCTGTTCTCCGACAGTCAGCCGGTTGGCCATGTTGGATATACCGGTGAATCTGACGTCGCAACAACATGCAATCTGATTGGTCAGAGGTGGACACACAGTATGTGAAACTTTAGAAAATTTGACCGTGAGACAAAAAAATAAATGTCGCAATATCGCAGGATGGGAAAACCTCGCTGATGTGAACGCTTGTATTGACAGGATACGGGTTCGAAAAAAATATTGACGTCCGAAATAATTGCACGAAAAAATGCTCCCGTTGTGTAAGGACCTTTTCAGTGTAAAAATGCCAGGAAATTATGGCCAGAGGTTGCAGCAGACTGAGAAGAGGTGATAAAGGTGATTATAGTCGGGTGATGAATACTAAATACCTGGGTGTTGTTCTGTTCGACAAACATACTGACAATGTGTCATAGGAATTCCTTCGCATTAATGCCCGGCACCCCCTCGCACATTTTCGTCACCTCTGGTGAATTGCGTGCAGCGAGACGCCTATTGTTTTGGGTGAGTTGTTCTATCTAAAAACATTATGAAACTTGGACATAAGCTCATGACATATTTTTACAGTTTAATAAAAGTTACTCTTAATTAGAGCGGACGCCTGAAGTGAGTCCTCTTGAACTGCAGTCTTGTACATGGTCTTTGACATACCGGCTGATTTGGATGTTTTCAGATAAAGTTTTCTCTAAGTTAATAGCAGGCAAATATGAAGGAGATGATTATCAAACTTGGCTCTGTGATGCTCATGATCAGGTATCTCCTGTCAGCACTTGGCTGCGCGTGCTCGTCTGTCAGAGCTTTGATTGGTCTCTACCTGCTTAAACTGATGTATCTGTCCTATAAAACGAAACAGACGGCTAAGGCTTTACCTGGGTGATTCAGGCTGGCGTTGAGTCAGCAACTTGTCCGCTTTAATGGCTTTCTGCTGAAGTGAATGGCTCAAACGAAAGGATTGGAGCCTGTTTTTTTTTTTTTTTTTTACCTGACTCCCTGTTCTGGCTAATCAGGTGCACTTATTTTCAAATGAGCATGGGACATGTGATATTCCTCAAGGTTTGGAGAGTTTCAAGGTCCACCTGCAAAACTGAGACAACTAAAATGTCCATGGACATAGACAGTCAAGAAAGCATTTGTGATATACATACAGCTGTGCACAAACTACAACAAAATAGAAGCTTTTATGGTGCTGTTTTTGAATGCAATCCTGAGCTCAGACAACAGGGAACAGAAAATAAAAATCTGCTTTGAATACATGGATATCTAATCGCTTTACGCACAATCTTAGCAGCTAAACTCAAACCTCACACATGCCTTTTTATATCTGTTTATCTAGCTTCTCTGTTCTGGAAAAATCTACAGATGGGGCACGTTTTCTTGTCTTATTTCACAGCCATTCTAACTGGCTGACCAACACTTCAGGGCCTTTTTTTGGCATGTGGAGCTACTGAACAAGCTGCTGTGTTTGATTAGATGTCTGAGAGAAAATGTTATGTGTGCAGTCCATTTTTTTAATTTTTTTTTTTTTTTTTTTACAAATTTCTTAGTAATAATGGAGCCTACATGATTACTTTATGTTGCTCTAAGATTAGGGCTGCATTTTAAATCATAATTTAAATCATAATCAGATGATTTAATTATGATGAAAAAAAATCAAAATCGTCAAATCAATTTTCCTCTCTATCACCTCGCACCTCCAGGGCTCACCAGGGGTCCTGCGGGAGCGCTCCCCAGTTCCCACACACACCAGTGTGAACAAACATGGCGTTTGCAAAAGAAAACGCTTCTCGTACCGTTAGCGGTGACAGGCTGTGCAGACTCCGCTCACGTTTTCATGCTTTCCGCATAATCCCTCAGGAAGTGCTCCTTTAAATGATTAAACAGATCTGTTGTGTTGCCAGTTTTTGAGGACACCGACTGCTGACATACCTTACACATCAGCTTAATTACTCGACGTCACTTTGGAGATACCCGAACCACCGCAACACAACCGACGTTGAACAACATCTCACTAATAACATCGTTGAAGGATGACTAAAAGTCTTGACTGCCATATATTTTGCTGCTCTCCGCTCCGCGTTTAGCCTCACGTTACGTCATTCTGTTGACTTCACCAGCAGATTACAGAAGTGAGCAGGAACAGCTTGACTCTGATTGGACGCACATTTCCGCTATGTTTGATCGAGTAAATATGCTCACAGCTGATCACCATAATTAAACTGAAATTTATCACGATTTATCATCAATCACGATCATATAATCGCCCGGTCCTACATTATACACATGCTCTGTACTCTTTTTCTGTCCTTTGTGCTGGTGTCTGAACACCGTTACAGCGCCACTTACTGGCTTGGCATGTGCATAACATCGCTTTCAGTGGTTTCGTTTTGAGAAATGATAGAAAAAGTTTTATTTTTAAAGGGAAGTTTGGTGAAGTTGTCACTGAATAAAAAATCGAAATTGAAAATCGAGTTTTCAGAGAAAAAAATCAGGATTTTAAATTGTCACACAATTTAGAAGTCTAATCAGCTGATTTTTGAATCCATAGGCAAGAAAATCCTCTGAATTACAGCTGACTGTCTCAGAGGAAGCTAGACTTCATGCTTCACAAAATTCTCAGGAGATCGATTGTAAAAAGTTAAAAGTAACACAGCCCAAAGCTCGGGCAGATGAAGTGGTATTTGAGTTTTTGATTGCACTGCTGTTTTCACTTTCCTTCAGAGGCTCTAATGTAGCTCACACTGTGATGTACTAAGACATCGTCCTCCCCCAGTTAGCAAGCTTCTCTTCAGCAAAAGGAAACAGAATTAGGCTAACAGCTGAGCACCTCTCTCCAGCGCCACTCAAACCCACTCTACCAGCAGCTTTTAAATGAACTTTATGAAAAGATAAACCTCTCTGCATGTCTACCAAAGCTAGCTTACCCCACCTGCAGGTAGTCCCTCACCTAACCGGAAAGAACACAAAGATCTGGGATTCATGCATTCACTTAAAAGGTGTTTTTGAAGAGTGAGCCCCTTCCTGAGAATTGAAAAGTCAAGTACATCAGCGGTAATCTTCTTTCAGGCACTATTTTTACCAGAGCGTCGTCTTGTTCACCATCTTGTTCTCCTTCCTCTTTGTAGAAACTCTCTCATCCTTCCCCACAGCGCAACTCGCTCTTCAAACCCTTCATCCCTCCCTTTTCCTCCCACCTTCATCTCCTCTGTCTCCCCCCAAGCCAAGCTTTTACTTCTCTGTCACCCCTCTGCTCCGTCTGCATCAATACCGAGCCCTTTATGTGACTGGTTCAATAACACTGTGTGCTTTTTGGGCCGAGGCCCCTCCAGGGTCCCTCCTTGGCAAATAAGATATCGAGGGGACAAATTAAAACGCTGCCGTGATTGTCTACACACTCTGTAGTAGTGGAGGGGTGACAACAGAGACAAGGAAGGAGGAAAGGACCCACGTGAAGAGGTCTCACCTTTTAAAAAGTCTTGGATTAATACTGCAATGAATGTCATCAATTGTACATGTCAGTACATTCATGTTGGTGAAGTTTCCTTTATTTTTGCACATTCATGCTTCGTTTCATGTCATGCATTCCCTGCCCCCGTCTTGTCACACCTGCCGCCTGATTGTGTCTCCTCACCTATTTCCCACCTTTTTACCTTGTGTGTCTCATCGTCTCGTCGGCAGTTCGTTACACTTCTTGTCTCATTCTAGTATTTATTCATAGTTATTTATACCCCAGTATTACCTTTGCCTGTGTTTTTGGACCTTGCCTTTTTTGCCTCAAGTTTTTAATACCTCTGCCTGACCTGATTGTCTTTTGTGTACCGACCTTTGCCTGAACTTCATTAAACCCTGTTTGTTTGGCTAAATGACTTGGTGTCGTGCCATTGTGTCCCTCAGTCTGTGCTTTGGTTGATGGCAGTTCATCAAACAAGAACACAAAGGACCCACTTGGCCTTATTACAGTCAAGTTGGTGTATTTGGCTATCCTACATGTTGAGGAATCAGGATAATTCTACTTTTGAAACATTTGGAGAGACCCAAAGCTTCTTGTAGGAGATCCCAGGCTGCAGGAACAGAGGACCTCAGTCCCGTTTATACGAACCCAGGTAATTTTTAAAAACTGAGATATTAACCATCGTTTGCACCTTTCATTTAGACCGAAACGGTGAATTTGTCCCTGAAAACGATGCTTTTTAAAAACTCCGGCTGGAGTGGAAATTTTGGAAAACTTAAGGTCCTTACACAATGGGACTGTTTTTTTCATGCGATTTTTTACAGACGTCAATATTATTTTTGAACCTGTATCCTGTCAATACAAGCGTTCACATCAGCAACGTTTTCCCATCCTGCGATATTACAGCACTTATTTTTTAATATCACGGACGATTTTTTCTAAAGTTTCGCATACTATGTGTGTCCACTTCTGACCAATCAGATTGTGTGTTGTTGCGACGTCTGATTCACCGGTATATCCAACATGGCCGACCAGCTGATTGTTTACGTGTCGGAGAACAGAGTGCTTTTTGATAAAAATCACAAACATTACAAAGATAACGACCTGAAGGACAACTTATGGAGAGTCATAGCGTCGGATTTCTCATATGACGATAGTTTGTGTGCTTTAACAGTTTGCTAAATGTCTTTGTTTCAACTTTCATCTGTGCTAAGTAACTTTAGCTTGTAAGCTAACCTGTTCAGATACTGTCACAGCACCATTAGGTCTCAGTTGTTACATTATGTTTATGGATTATAGTTTAATGTGTTTATCTGGTACTGGCCCCGACTCAGTACATGCTATCATGACAAACAGCCAACTCAACACTAGAGTCTAATCAGAACTGAAAAACAGTCAGTCTGATGTTGTGTCAGTCTTCTCACTTTCACCCAGGACGTGTCTTTTTTCCCCCCGTTTGCAAAATCGCATCGGGCTTGATATGTATAGTCAAGCGCATAAAAAAAAACTAAGAAAAACTGAGGTAAATAGAGATTTCGGTAGCCGACGGCAGATTGTGTACCGAAAACTGAGTTAAATGCGACGTTGTTTACAGTCTATGTTTACAATCTATGGTGATCATGGATGCATGCAGAATAGCAGTCGCATTTTTGCTAAGGAAATCCCTTTATATTGTCTTTTCCAAAAGTAGGAAGTGACGTTGTTGTTGTTGTTGTTGCTGCTATGCAGGATTCTGATTGGCTAACGTGGGCTTGAGCTTCATAAATATGGGTTAGAGTAAACAAGAACTTTTCTGAAAATGTAGTGGTGTGCACACAGTTATTGTTTTTTTTATAAACGGAGAGGGTGAAATGTCCGTGCGGGGCACATGTAAATGTAGTCCTAGACTCCTTAACCCAGTATCAAGATGCTCTCTGGGGACAGAAAGTAAAATAAAATCTTAAAATCAAGCAGGTGCAGCTTTGTTTTTGAGTTTGTGAACACTGTCAAAAGAATCTTGTAAGAGAGAACCTGATTCAATGTTGGAGCTGAGAAGTAAGTAACTGCATCATCTGCATATAAAGTTATACATGCATTAAGAACATTATGGCAAATGTTGTTAATGTTAGTTTCTTTGAACAGAAACAATAAATCAGTAGCATGTCAGTCAGTTGTGTTTATTCCAGCTCTATTGCTGAAAACTTGTCCAAACGTGGTGCTTGCATGAGTGTATCAGTGTATGTGTATCAGCTATGGAAAGTTTGTGGAGTTACCTTATGCAGGTGTATAAAAAAATAAAAATAAAAAACCTGCTGTACTTTGGCTCATTGTGTCTCCATATTTCCCCTCTAATGGTGCTCAAGCTGTGCAGACTGAGTGCAGATGTTAATCACAAGCTGTGGCAGAGCGGCGTGTGTCCCACAACACAAAGGTCACCTTTAAACTCACACGGGGGAACAAACTCAGCCTGCGTGAGCCCCAAAAATCATTAGTTTGGTTTGTTTAGGAGATTCAGCTGTGCATGTTAATTTCTCTGAAACAACCATGACGCTTATTTGTTACCGGGATGAAGTGAGTGGATTTATGTCCCACTGTTTAAAGGACGGATTAACAGTAAAGGATAATGTTTAGATTAAAAGGTGTCATAATGAGAGATTTATTAACCTGTTACACTTTGGTGTTTTTCTGGAGCTTTTAGTAGGACTTTTATTGCAGGGGGATATGCAAACACAGCAAATAACACCAGACTTCTAAAAGCCTGCCAAAATATAAAATGTCAAACTGAATTTGTGGGAAATGTGAATGAAAAACTCTGGACCATGTAGAAATATACAAGTAAATACAGTACGAGTGAATAAAGGGAGGAAATAGAGGTTTCCTCTTTTTCTACTTAGCACAGTAAAACAGAAACAATTAGATTTAGGGAGTAATGGCTTTAAATCTGCATTAATGTGTTTATTCAACTTATATTTGATTCACTGTTAACAAGTAGGATTTTAGCTCACTTCCTTTAGGAATCACAGATTTACATTCAAGGATTTTAAGTCCCTGTATTTGATTTAATTTTTTCCAGCAAATATCAGTCTAGTCCAACTGAACCCTAACCCTACCAATGAAGACATTAATGCATCTTAAAACCACCAACTTGTACGTGCTCATTTGAACATAAATGCACACCTCTTGGTTTAATACTTTATCTAGATTAAATCAATGCATTTATACAAAAACTATCAAGATAATGTAATAATTATAGTTTTATTTGAATTTCAGGTTGCTCTTTGGTGTCCAGGTTGCTGCAGGAGTTGCCATTTTTAATTTCAGTGCATTTCTTGGATGTGTAGAGAAAAGCTCTTGAATCTTGAAATTTGACCGCGCATGTGAAAAAGACATTGATGACCTTCAGGTTGTTTGATTTTTAGACTCATATTTTAAAAGCAAACAAAATAATCATAATAATAATAATAATTAAACATCCTATTCTAAAAGACTGAGAATTTTTGCTTATTTTTTTCTGAAAATTGTAGATAAATATAGAGATTGCAAAAAAATGCACTCTTAGCTGTGCAGCTAGGTTCTTATTCGCACATCTTTTTTAAAGTTTCAACCAAAAAATCCAACTAAACTTCAGATTTCTGCAAAGTTGACACTTCTAGCTGAGAGAAACTAATGCTTGTGTTGTTACTAGACAGCTTTGACATCACTTCTTGTCTTTTGGTTTATTGCTAAAACGTTTAACATTGATTATTTCAGCTTCATTATCCCAGCAGGAGTGGAAATGTGGAGAGTGAAAATCCTGTCCGTTGTTATCTCGCAGCCGGCTGAATTTCCTGTCCTCCTGTGAGACTCTGGCGGTCTGAGCTGCTGTTCTGAGGACGACACATTTGGCATTTAGCTCTTCTCCAGAGACATGTTTATCGATACGCCGGTCGGTCCCAAAATGATTGTCCCATCCTGGTAAATTATTGATGTCTCGGCAGGATCGGCCTCAGAGATGCGTTAAACTGATGATGACTCAATTTGGTGGCCTGGCTCGGGTCGAGGCCCACAGCTCGATACGTCAATACCTCAGAGCAGCCTGCACGCCACGTGCACAGAAAACAAACAAGCATGGAGACACACCAACACACACACACTGCCCTCAGATTTGTGTCTTTCTCTTCTTTTTCAGACACATTAACAGCCTCTTGAAAAGTCCTCAGAAAACCTTTTATATAATCGTGTTTTAATGCTTTATGATCCTCTGATACTTCAGTGCATTATCATGCTTTTACAAAAACAAGTAGCTCCATTTAAACTAATTGTTTTGCAGGGGGAAAAAAAAAAAAAAAACGCAAGGACATCTGGGATTTAAGGGCAATTAGGATGCGCTGAAAGGAGTGGAGGTATAAGGAGTTACATAAGCGTCATTATTTCACAGAAGAGGACTGAAATAATCTGCAGCTGAAATGCTTTTGTTGCAAAAATAAAAACACAGGCTTACAATAAGAGCTCCTACATTAAGTATAATGATTAGTGCAGGAAAACACAGTACTGAGGATTTATTTATTGAATGAGTAGCTGATCATTAGTGATGTTTTGTTTGAGAGGAGGACGCACAATGCAGCATTTCTGAGCTTTTATTCCGTAACATTGGCAAACTGACGCCTCCTCCGTGCAAATATGAGGCGTGTCTGAAGAATCAAGCGACTCCTGTGTAGTACTGTGCAGGCTGCAGAGGTTAAAAATGGAAATTAGGATGAAGAGGAAGAGAAGAGGGAGAGTTTAGTTTTGATCAGAGAGGAGGATGCAGCTCTTCAGACAGCAAGTCAGCTGGGAATTGTTCAGAGTGAAGTTATTTTCGGCCTCTGTGATATCAGAGGGAAAACTCCTGACTGGTGAAGTGTTGTTTTTTTTTTTTTTTTTTTAATGTTTGACTCTTGATTTATTGAATCTGTTCTTATGTTGTCTTTCATCAGCTTTAAGGGTCATGCTGACACGTGCTATAATCATCACCTGATGGAGTTTTCTCTTGACTAATGTGTTTCAGTGCTCATTTTTGCAGCCGTTTTAAGGTGCTTTCACACCGGGACCGTGTTTGTCGTGTGATTATTTCGGACGTCTATACTTTTTTTCAAACCCGTATCCTGTCAATACAAGCGTTCACATTAGCGATGTTTTCCCATCCTGTGATATTTACTGGCCACTGGTTTAAATGAAGAATTAGAAATGGCTTGCTTTTTATGACTGTCTGTTTGCACTGGCTAAACCCATTCCCTGTTCATATGTTTTCATTGATGTAAATAATAACCCGTAGGTCCATGGCTTTAGTATGTAAATAGAATAGTATAGAATATTCTTTATTTCAGATTCAGGGTCCATAGTGAGCCACTTGGATTTGTTTTAGATTGCTATGATGTCATGTATCACAATGCATCCTGGGCCACACCCTGGCTCAATTACCTGCTCTGTGTAAGAAGCTCCAGGTGTGTCTAATTAAGGGCTCCAGGTGTTTCCAATTAAGGACTCCAGGTGTGTCTAATTAATCTCTCCAGTCTGACTGAGAAGAACTCAAAGACACAGTCAGACTGACCTCTCACTATTGCACTTATGATAGTCGACTGAAACGCTTTCTGCTTATTTGTTTGATCCTAGCAATAAAATGAATCCAACTTTTTAAGACATTTATCTTTTCCATCTTTCTATGTGCGTGAGTCCTCCACTGCCTTTTTGAAATAAATCTAGCTAACTGCTATGCATCCAAATGACTTGCAAATTGTGTCTTAAGTACTTTTATAAATACTTTGTTTTATTCTTTGTGGGATGATGGTGTGATGCTGATGACTGTAAACTAATCAACCCTCTTTGAAAGATGAAAATATCATTTCTTTGCACAAAAGAAAGACTGTGGAGAAATATTCTGATTTTTTTTTTCTTCCCGGGGTGCCACAATATAAGTAATTTCACGTCTAAATCTAATCTTCTTGAAGTTTTCTTTTGAAATTTTGATTTAAACTTCCCATAAACAAGAGATCAGTTTTCAACACTAACAGGTGTCCTGTCTACACTCTTCACTCATTCGGGTTTTGACAGCTGGGCAGTCAGAGGGCGTCGAGTGAGAAAACCAAAGTGAGAAAGTTGGAGAGACAAAAGTAGTATTCAAAAAGTGAAAGCGAGGCTTTGATTCAGAGCCATCTGTCCCACCAAACGGGCTGACTGAGTCTGAGGGAAGAAGCCGAAAGAAATTAAACTCACGGTTTCAACATAGCAACAATGTCTCAATGTTCGGAGATTGGCCAGATACCAACACTTGATAATATGACAATCTTCACACACAACTAGACGTCAATCATTTGAGTTTGATCCTAACTTCAATCGAATCACCAGTTTGGCCCTTCTTCACAAAGGGGGTTTGCTCACTTCACAGATAAACGGTGTCATCTACTGTTGTAAACAAATATTAGCATTCATAAGATTAGACCCTCAAATCAGGAAAACTTTACTTTTTTAGAGGCATTCGAGGGAAAACAAAACATCTAGATCCAGATATCTTCAATCCAGTCTTAAGATTTTCCAGGAGAAACTCAAGAAGCTTCCAGATGCTTGTTCCCTGTCATGTAACGCTCATTATTTCCATCAGAGCGCGGGTTTGACGTGTTGTGACAGAGTGCGCTCGGTCGGTCCTGCAGAGCTCTGACTGTTGTTCTGACATCTGACAAACCATGTGTCATCTAAACCGAATGGGGGGCTGATTGGAGGGCTAAGCGGACATCAACCCTCTGATGTAATGATGGAGTGTTAGTCTTGGCTGTATGGACTCATCTTCATCTAGACTGAAATATGAATTAATCAGTCCATGTCCACGTGTATGCAGGTAAGGGCAGTCCTTATCTCTGTGTCTCCACAAGTAATCAGGCTATTGTTGTCACCCGTCTCAAATATGATAAATATTCTTATACCATCTAATTAAGGGTCCTTCATCAGCAGCTGTCTAATGTTTTAATCCAGCTATCCATTCTGCTGTCACAGTCCCCAGACAGCAGCAGATGCTGAGCTGCTCATCCCAGTGATAGCTGCTCAATATCATCAACTGGTGCCATCGCCAGATTTAGCAGCAGTTAGAAACTCTGGAACAGCTGATCGAAATCTATTATTTATTCCTGCACCATGGGGTAATGACAGAGGACATGCTTTCTATGCAAACATTAGACCTAACAGTACCTACCACTCATAAACAAACCAGTATCCCACTATTACTGTGAACAAGTATGCCAATGTTTTCCCAAATCTCTCCTTTAGACGAACCAGGTCCTCTACTGTTTGTTATTTTGTGTATTTCCAGTGCTGTTGTATGATTCATGTGTGGACTGCTGTTGCAGAACAAACTGCTGCTTTGGGACAATAAAGATTTTCCACATCCGGAAATGACTCAGTGATGTTGTTTTCTTGTATTTCTTGCACTGAAAGGTTTTTAACATTTGTTTTTTTTAAGCATTTCCCTAAAAGAAAATACTTTTGACATCACACTGTTTAAATTTTGAACTCAGCTTTTAAAATTTTGAAGAAACAGTTTATTTTCTGGTACCAGAAAAACTTCCATATTGGCTCTCTCCAATAAAAGAACACAAAGCGCTTTTTTCGGGTGATTATGTCGGATGTCAATATATATATATTTTTAAACCCGTATCCTGTCAATACAAGCGTTCACATCAGTGACGTTTTCCTGACCTGTGATATTGCGACATTCATTTTTCGTATCACGGTCGAATTTTCTAAAGTTTCGCATACTGTGTATCTACTTCGGACCAATAAGATTTTGTGTTGTTGCGACGTCTGAATCACCGGTATATCCAACATGGCTGGCTGATTGTTTACGTGTCGGAGAACAGAGTGCTTTTTGATAAAAAACACAAATATTACAAAGATAACGACCTGAAGGACAACTTGTGGAGAGTCATAGCGTCGGATTTCTCATATGACGATGGTTTGTGTGCTTTAACAGTTTGATAAACGTCTTTGTTTTAACTTTCATCTGTGCTAAGTAACTTTAGCTCATAAGCTAACCTGTTCAGATACAACATACCATATGTATTTTTACTGTCTCAAACTCAATCGTGTTGCTGTCACAGCACCATTAGTTCTCTGTTGTTACCTTACGTTTATGGATTATAGTTTAATGTGCTTATCTGGTACTGGCCCCGACTCAGTACATGCTATCATGACAGACAGCCATCTCAACACTAGAGTCTAATCGGAACTGAAAAAAAGTTAGTCTGGTGTTGTGTTTTCGGTTTTTAGTTACTGTGGCATATGGTAGCTCTCATTATTTTTAAAAGGAGTACTAATTCGCCATCACTTGAAGTTGAAGTAGACCCGGTTTTTGTCTTTTTGCTTCCACCCGGGATGCGTCTTTTTTCCCCCCAGAAAAATCTCAACGCGCTTTATGTGTATAGTCAGGCATGTCAAAATTCGCCTCCGAATATTTCGTGGTTTCGCGTCGTTCCCAGTGTGGAAGAACCTTACAGAATAACCCCAAAACAGTGTAATTAGACACAATTAGGACCCAAAATCAAAATCGATATCTACACAATCATCAGTGACCTGTTAGATATCTTAAACTTACTTACGTGCTTTGCGTTGAGTTTATTATTATTATTATTTTTAATAAAACATGTATGTCCATATGAAGTTCAGTTATTTACGAGCTTCAAGTATCCTGTGTACATCCCACTATGTTGATAAACTATTAATAGCGAGCTATCCTACATTTCCACATAGCACATTGGTTGTCAACCTTTTTGAGTCGTGACTTCCAATTTAACATGCACTAGTGTCCACGACTGAGTGTGAGAGAGAAAAGAGCAGCAGCTTTGCCTCTGGACTGTAATGAGTCTGTCACAGTGGAAAGCCTGTTTGCTAACACGACAACACAGGGCCAGGGCAGGAGATACGTGCTTAGTTGACACCCAATGGAGATACTTTTTGAAAAGATGATGTTATAAAATGTCTTTCCATTGGTCATTTGGATACCCAAAGCTACAGGTTGTTATCAAAGATTATGGACCATGCATGCATTGAAAAAAGTCTGTATAGCGAAAAGTGTAGATACGTGTTTTTCATTGGACAGCGACGATAAGGTCAAATACAACCTCCATACATTTCCTATGGGCTCTAATCGGAACCTCAACTGTCTATTTACTGGGAACCACATTGATTGTTCCTGAATTATCATCTCAAATGAAAAGTAGTTGATAGATGATCATTTTTATTCTGACCTCTAAAAAGACTTGATACCAACAATTTTATAGAAATGAACAAATTATTCCTCGTGTTAGTTTGAATGAAAAGACACAAAGTAAAGTTGCCTCTATTTAAATGTAACACAGAGTCTTTATTTCTTATATCTGGGGTGGGACTTGAGTTGGTCTATGTTGTCGTTTCTCTTGAATTTGTGAAAAACACCTCGGGGCATTTGTCAGATTTCTGTGAAGGACGGCTGAACAACCTAAAAACATGACGCCTGAGGCCTGACTGTCGCTTTCTGGAGGTTTAGAAACAGGGATTGTACTTTGAGGACCTTCAGACACTCTGCATGTTTTAACCAATGTGAATTAAATTAGTCCTCTGTAAGGTCAGAGCATTTTAATCTCAACTGGACATCTCCATCTCTGAGGAAACACCCACACTTCTTCTTCTTTGTGGAAGCTGACAAGGTTACAAACAGCCAGAACAGATTCTCTTTTTCATTTCATGATTACAACTTTGGTGAAATGAGGAATATGGATGAGGCTGCCTCCTGTACCCGGCTCCTCCTATCAGAGCCCACGGAGAAGCGGAGACCTTGAAACACCTTGTAGCTGGACGCCAGCTCTCCATTAATGAGGGTAAACAAGGCGATGCTGACAGAATCCAAATGTCCGGCTGCACTGATCTGTGAGCATCTCGCCCTGATAACAATGTTTACATAATTAATCATGTTACAAAATTAATCTCCCGCAGGTGAGCCCTGGATACATTATCTCTAAACTTAACAGCAGGTATCTGCAAACACAGTGTGTGTGTGTGTGTGTGTGTGTGTGTGTGTTTCATTTCAAAGATATTCCCTTCTTTCTGTGCTGATTTCAGGCCCGGCTAGGTCAGGCCATCATTAATCTTCATTCCTGCACTTTGGGATTTGTTGTGACGGTCCCCTCTGATTTCACTCCCCCTCATCCTCTGTCGAAAATGTAGCAGCAACACAGCCAGCTGTAAACTTAATGGCACAAACTAGAGGAGAAAAAAAAAGAGAAACAGCCAAACTCTGAGCAGAGAGCGTGTAAAAGCATGAGAGATGTGAGGTGGGAAATCCAGAGGGGCTTCTGACTCTTTGAATTAGAAAATGGATGAGACAAATATTCACAAAACTTAAGATGCCCATACTGTGATGAGGCTCTTCTCCCTGTGGATTCATGGATAATTACGTGCCCACTGGAGATGCAAAAAGCTTATATGAGAGTGAATGTAATGAAGGGAGATATAGAAGAAGTCATCAAAAGGAATACTTAAAATGGGACCTGCAGGAATCAGGAGATTTGCGGCTAATATCGACTGCAGCTAGTGAAGCGTCCCTCAGGTTGTGGTGTTCTCGCTTAAACTCTTTCTCTTACTTTGGCGAGTTTCCTTAATCAGCTTTCTGAGCTCACAGGTGGGCACATTTGAAATGGGACTGCAGGGGCTGTAATCGTTCAGTACAGTGCACACAAACCGGCCTGCAGAGCCCACTTTCAGTCTGCTGTTTGTCAGGTTTAGCTCTGTCTTAGCTTCTGTTAAATCATGTTTCCATGTCAGCTACTTAAACATGTTAAGGTGGAACATGATTAACATGTTTAACCCTTTAAAGACAATACTTTACAAAAAAAGAGTATCTAAGTTTGCAAATTTCAGCAGTCTAATTTGAAGTCCAGTCTCACCTGAAGGGATCTAACAGATCCTGTCTTGAATAAAACTAGACAAAAGAAAACACATATGTGTGTCTCCTTATGTGTCTGGGTTCAGCCTCAGACTAATCAAACCCTTTATAATCGCTGTGTCAAATAATATTTACAAATATTCCGGGCATTCCACCATGTTGCAGCTTCCAATCAGTGGCTTGACAGAGGACTTCATGATCACACGTGCCAGGGAGGTCATGATGTACCGTGACGTGGAAGGGACAGGGAGCTGTCAATAGAGCAGAGGCACGGCTACAGCACAGTATTCTGGTTGGCAACACAGCAGTGAGTAGAGCGAGACTTGGTAGCTTTCCCAAGCCCTGCTACAACAAAGCCAGGGGGAGGGAGAAACACATAATGGTGCAGGACCAGATACGAGCAGAAGTGGAAGAAGGCCGCCGGATGAAGATGGTTGGTATGTACCAACAAGGGGCCTGGACAAGGTGGAAGCACGCTGCACAGCGAAAGATCACCTGGCAGGAACTCTGTACCCCAGCCCCAGCACATAAAGTTCCTCATCCAGTCCGTGTATGACGTTCTCCCAAGTCCAACCAACCTGGGGCTTGGCAGACACCATGGCATGCCAGCTTTGTCAGAAGAGAGGCACTTTGGAACACATCCTCAGTTGCTGTCCAAAGGCACTGGGAGACGGGCGGTATCACCGGCATCATGACCAGGTCCTCAGGGCCCTGGCAGACACAGTCAGCACAGCAATCACCAGCAACAAGTACCAGCACACCCCCAAACAGTCCATCACCTTCGTCAGAGCTGGGGAGAAGGCACAACAGCAGTCAAGTTCATCAGCAGGGCTTCTCACCACTGCACAGGACTGGAAGCTCCAAGTCGACCTGGGAAGACAGCTCAAGTTCCCAGAACACATCTCTGCCACTTCACTCCACCCAGACATGGTGCTAACATCAGAGTCAACAAAGCAAGCGGTCCTGGTAGAGCTTACTGTCCCCTGGGAAGACCGGATCGAGGAGGCCAATGAGCAGGACCAAAGGCTGGAAAACCTGATGAGATCCAGTTGAGGTGGGGTGCCGGGGTTTTGCTGGCCAGTCACTCCACCGAACCCTCAAACTCCTTGGAGTTAAAGGTCAGCTGTGCAAAAGAGCCATCAAGAACATCACAGAGTCTGCAGAGAAAGCCTCAAGATGGCTGTGGATCCAGAGGGGGGGGATCCTTGGAGTAGCGGGCCAATTGGACACAAGTCGGGGGCTGATCACCCCTGACTGGGTCGCCTGGGCGAGGGTGATGATCAAAGACCCGAAACACCCAATGACCTCAGGTTCATCACTGATGATGTGTCCAAGTAGCGTCTAGAGGTGTATTTTAGAACAAAAAGAGCTAAACACAATCTGAGCATAGTGCTAGCCCAATACCTTCCAAGCATCCAGTCGTCAAATGTCAAAATGGCTTTTCATGTATGTGCATGAAACAGAGGATAGATGTGTTCTTCCTACCTCAGGTTTCTGCCTTCAACATACGTATGTGAAAGGACAAAGATCTCTCAGAACAGAACTGATAATTATAACTTACTGCAGAGAAGATAAAAATTGCATTTTAAAGAAAATGTTCCCTGACTAGTACAGATGCACATACCGCCAACGAGTTGTGTTATCAAGTGTGAAACAAATTCTGCCATAAATCCCCTTCCGGAACTTAAGCTTATATTTTCAGTATTCTGGAACTTGTATTTACATTACCAATTTGTTAATGATCTGAGTGCTTATTTAAACGCCACCTTTAGTTTAAATAAAAATTGTGGCAGTGGGTTTGACTGAGAAATTATGCAAATTAGACAATGACGCCAAATAGCGACTTCTAGGGTCTTTTACGACAGCCACTAGCAACTTTCCTTACTGAGGAGTTGGCAACACTTTTTTAAAAAATAGGATAGTCACAGGTCTTTGAGACATTGCAGGTTAAAAAAAAAAAAAGACTAAAAAGCTGAATGATAATAGTGCAAACATTTTAACAGTGATCAAAGCTGTTGTAAATTAAAAATTGTAATGCTCATATGTCCGTTTGTGTCCACTTCCTGCTGTTATATCAGTTTGTAAATACAGTATATATGCATAAAAAATGTGTATTTTTAAGTGTGCATGTGCATACTAGCATGTGTGTATACACAGTGTGTGTGTGTTGTGTCAGTGGGGGATGGAGGTATACAGGTGATTGTTGGATATTGCCCTGTACAGATGCAATTCAGCATAAATGTGCTGTGAACAAAGGGAGTGCTGCGGATCATTGGTCAGAGGCAGCAGCG